ATCTGCAACATGACATCATGACTTTTGCGTAAAACATTCAAGCTTTTACAAACTTTCATGACTTTTGCGTAAACATTCAAGCTTACAAACTTTCAAGTCAAGTGGCGTGTTATCTATACACATTTTGAGCTATCCGCGTGTATGCATGTCTACGCCATTAACATCCGAGTGATTCCGCGTGTACTGTATGTACACGCTGTTAAATGTCTGAGCGAAATGAAGCAAAATGTATATCTACATCTGGGGAGCGATATTTATTTCCTAGGATGGTAGGGGAACACTCACAAATGCAATAAACCCCAGTGACGGGTAGGTTTAGAAATAGGGTTGGGGTATATTTATATATACAGTAATAACGTTAAGTCAGCGGCGTTCATAAACACGCTGAAAAGCACGCCAAAAATGGAAAAATACGAATTGGCGTGTCATATACACGCAATTTCATGAGATCAGTCTGTCATTTTTATGATGCTATAATGCTAAAAATTCTTCATCATAACAAAACACAAAAACGCACCTCTACATTTTTGCAACACTGTAAAAACATAGCTACCCATACACATATCATATAAAAAATAAACACTAGTGGCTTTAATAACCAACTTTCATTCCTTTTAACAAAATTACAGAGGCAGATTATCTATTAAAGATCAATCCGCACCGCAAACACCAATAAACAAGTTGGCCGTTGGATTTCGAATTTTATGAAAAGTCAGATGAAAACAAATCCTGACCAATTTAACAGATGCTGATGGGTAACACACCGATCCAACAAAACCCAATTATTGTGTTTGTTGGCATTTGTCTGTGCGGTGTGAATTGGCCTTAAGAAATACTTATTTTCATATGGTTCCTTGTACAAAGTACACTATTATGTCATGAGCTCAAAACACTTTTACCATAGTGCATAATTGGGTAAACATACATTTTGGCATTTGCATCATGTATATGTGGAGCTTGTACGACGTAGCGGCTTGCTAGTACAGCATAGCGAACAGCATTGGTGGTGGAGCGTTGACACCGAGCCATGTGAAACACGAGTCTTAGAGGAAAGCTAAGATAGCATGGTTGCTTCAGCAAATGCTATTTTATCTCTTTACGTTTGCTTTGCTTAACACTATCGGTTATGTTTATGGTAGGGTTTAGTGTAGGTGTTATCTTCAAATGCAAAAGAGCATTAACCTTTTAGTGCCATTCACCGGACATTTTACTGCCACGATCTGTACTACAAACAACGTAATAAAACATTTCACGTTCATCTGTTTCGGATAAAACTGAACATACTTTTTGAGTCATTTCACTTTGAAAGTGTTGTGAAACATGCAAAACCCTTTAAGTATCATTTTGCAGAGATGTAGTACAGCCATTTTATTTCTTCTGATAATTTAAAAAAGGAACTGATAACCCAAGGGTGCTCTACGTTCTAATACAACTAAACTTTGTATAATGTTCTGGCCTCAACAAAGGAAATGGTAGCAGGGAGGGATAAAGAGAACAGAGACAAATGCGAGATGCAAAGTGTGGCAATTATGAGCAGGTATGGTGTAAATGTACTTTACAGCTCTCTCTCATTGCTGATGGGGCTATTAGAAGACTAGACAAGAGTCATTTTCACTCAGCTTCAACGAAATGGATTTTCTGGAGCAAGACGTCTCAATTCAATAGTTCTTATTTACAGGAAACAAAGCATTAGTACACTGTTGAACCTCCTTATTAATATTTAAGCCTAATGAAGGCTTGTGTCTGGAGTGCTCAGGGAGAGGCCAGGCGTCACGCTGCGGCGTGTGTCTTGGTGGGGGTACCCCTCCCACTGGCTCCCTGCCGCCTTTTCTCTTTCTCTCTCTCTCTCTCTCTCTCTCTCTCTCTCTCTCTTCTCCTTCCAACGCTCCCACAATTGGCTCTGGAGAAGGCTGTAGTTGGAAACACAATGAGCTTTAACAAAGCACTTCCACCCTATCCCCTGGGATGCCCGATTGCTTAATGGACACCTTAAGATCTGCAGGGACGCTTGGCTAATGGTGTGACCTGATATCAGAGAGCCCAATTGGCCATTCGAGGGCCTCTCGCTGCAGGAATATGAGTACACTCAGGCCTCGGTGCGAATCACAGCCCCTCACAGTCCGTCAGCCAACTAGGCGTTACGGACAAATGTTAAACTGTGTTTACATCAGGTTTTTTTTTTATATAATCAAATTTGAGTGCACTATTTTTTACGATTACATTAGAATGTCATGGAGGATTTACTCACATTATTACAAGATATCTCAGCCCATTGTCAATTCCTGCCCGAAATATAATAACGAAATATAATTTTTTTGTTTTTTTTTTCCAATTATGCAACATTTCTTACCCCTATTCCTAACCTAATAGCAGGTAGCTAAAATGATGTTGTCCTCCTCGGTTGAAATCCGCCTTCTGGGTGGGGGGTGCAGGTTGGTTTGGTCATAGTGGACTAGATAAAAAAAAATCCATCTTGGAAAAAAGTTTTGACAAGTCGAACCACGAACGCCGGTTCGACTTGTATACACTTCTGTCTGTATACACGAAGTGGACTGTCTTTCTAAAATATCTTCTTATTAAACGGTCTGGACACTTACAAAGTTCTCAATGCTTCGTTTTGCATGTATGGACCCTCATAATGTTAGTGCGTTAGTGTGGGGCTATTTTGAGCCTTGTTAGTGGTATAAACTAGCGATTTCTTTTGACTTATTATTAGCTAATAACCGCCGTTATACGCTAAACCGTTTTTAGAGATAAAAACTCTTTACATTCGATTATCATGAAAACAAATCTCAAAGAACGGTCGATTAGGTACCAATGTGTAATTAGACCAAAGGTTCATTTTGCACCGGAATTCTACTTTAAACCCTAACGTTTTTCCGGGTGGTCCTGGAGCAATATTCCCATCCACCAATGGGAATGTTACTCCAGGACCAGCAGGAATAACCTTGTTGCTGCAGTGATGAGGTCTCTCTTGTTTCTTCATCATAGCAACTATTCCTCCATCGTCTTCACCGATTTTACTCATTTTTCTGTGAAACCCACTTTCACTCTCTCATAGATGATCTTGTGATTTGCTTAAAGCACGATGATGTTTTGTGTAACCTTTCAAACAGCGGCCCAGTCTTCATATCAGATTCCTTCCTCAGTCACAAGCTGCTCGTCCCAACCACGTGCCCGCAACCATTGCAGCTCACAACGTGGGAGGGGGTGGAAGGATGTATCCACACACACACACTCCACTTAAACAAAATGTGGTAAACGCTATACGCACTCGGTATAATTGATACATATATTTGCAATTAGACTTGGTTTGACTTCTACTAGACTTAATGTGGTCTTATAGTCTTACCTATGCAGCTAAAGTAGATTATGTAGTAAATTATGTTTAGTAAACACTATAACCTTTGAAATATCTGCAGAAAGCACGTTTGGGGATTAAAATGCATTACTTGGGTGGATGATGGTATCGTAAAAAGGCTCCGCTGATGTCGCCAGCAAAATGGTTCTGCGCATTTCACGGGTGTTATTTACATCCTGTCCTCTACCTTTGTTTTATGGGCATTACCCTGGCAAACACAGCAAGGTAATTGAACATGGGCAGGTGACTAATTGAATTAGATAGGGAACTCAGTGGGGGCTAGAGAAATGGAGGTTAATAACTTCGGTTGGCCATATGATGCCTGCTGAAATCGACATGATTCTGTGAGCTGTTTTTTCTTGTTGTTTCTCTTAGGGATTTTGTGGTGCGTGGGTTTTAATCTTATTTTTGAATGTATTTAATGTTTAGAAGCTTATTGGAGCACTTCCATCTCTGCAGAAAGCGGCAATTATTTCCAATAAGTCCTGCTATGGCTCTGTTTTATCTAACTAAATATTGACCGAAGATTGAGCCGTACTCGGTACTCAGAAAGCTGGTTCTCTTGTTACCTAATCATGTTTCAGATAAGTATACTGTATGTGTCATCATACAAATAATACAATGTATGTTAGAATTGAAAAAATACAAAAATATATACTTAAAAATAATACACTTAAGTGGAAACTGCATAATTTCATGTTAATTTCCCCTTTTAAAAGTGTACTTGAGTGTCAAGAAACAGTGAATATGTACTCTTTTATTATTATTTTAGAGTTTTTCAACCCATATGTTCAAGATTTGAAGTACATTACAATTGCACACTATTTTAATTTTTTACAAGAGAAGGCAAGAATGATTCACTGATTCACGAACGAACTTGTAAAGGTAACAGTAACACTTTAGGGTTCAATTCTCACAATTAACTAGTTTCTTAATACCATGCAAATTACTAGGATATTGGCTGTTTATTTGTACTTAAAGCACAAATTAATGGCTAATTCTGCATGTCCTTATTCTACATTCCTTAATCCTACCCAATACCTAAACTTAAAAAAAAAAAAGAAAAAGAAAAAGAAATTAGAAGTTTAGTGAGGCAAAAGTATAAGGTATGTCATCTGCAGGTGTTTTGGATGGTTGCTTACTGGCAAAAGAGTATGAGATTATTGTTCCTCAGTTTTCTCTTTCAAAGTACTATTGTTTTACACATTTGATTGCTAACCAAGAATTTTTTTTTTTTAATTCTGATGGCTTAGAAAAGTAATAGCACACTTTCCCTCAACAAGCCACATAATTTGAATTATCCTTCAAGTATACTCAATGTTAGAGGCATGTTCAAATCCCTGCAATATTAAAAAGCGAGTTTGTGGGAGTTAAACCACATCATCGTCCCCTGTTGCCACAATGATTCGCCCCGCCATAGTGATTTGTTGTCCTAATATTGGGTCATCTATTTGACATACTGTACACCCCTTTGTCTAGATCTAGAGTGTCTCTGGGAACTTAATATGTTACCCTGTTTGCTCTCTTCAAGGTTAAAGGCCACTGATTTCATCAAGTTCAGAGATTTTCCCCTACAAGGGAGCCAGATCCTTTTGTTAGCGCTTCAACTAACCATTTCTTGTCTTCGCTTTCCCAACAGAGCCGTATGGCAGAGAGCCTGCGTTTGTTCGATTCCATCTGCAACAACAACTGGTTCACCAATACCTCACTCATCCTCTTCCTCAACAAGAAGGACCTGCTGGCCGAGAAGATCAAGCGTATTCCGCTGACGGTCTGCTTCGCTGACTACAAGGGCCAGAACACCTACGAGGAGGCGGCGGTGTACGTGCAAAGGCAGTTCGAGGACCTCAACCGCAACAAGGAGACCAAGGAAATCTACTCACACTTCACTTGCGCCACTGACACCAGCAACATCCAGTTTGTGTTTGACGCGGTGACGGACGTGATCATCCAAAACAATCTCAAGTACATTGGATTGTGCTAGGACGAGGGGACGGGGGAGAGGGGCGACAGGCACGGCAAAAGTAAAACCCTTTGGCGAACTATGAGGCTCACCTGTCAACGATCTCAAAAACGCTTGTTGAAACTGGAAACTCAGATGAGGCCCAGAGGAAAGGGCTACATGCTGCCATCCTGCTAGATTTATCAATGTCAAAACGTAAAAGGTCAAGAAGGATTTAACAAGGTTGGTATAAATGTGTTTGCACTGAACATACTGTATGACTATGTAGAAACACACACAGACACACACGCATTGTTACGTTTGTTCACACACAACGGACTTTGGGATCAGTTGTCATGCACATGTTTAACATGGAAACACTGGAAAAAGATATAGGCTACCTGCTCATCTCTTCCATTAGAAACAGCAGGAATAAAGATACCATACATGAAAGGGATAGTTCACCCCCCCCCCCCCCCAAAAAAAAAGACAAAAAGTCATCACTTATTCTTATCATTTACAACCTGTATGACTTACTACTTTTCTTCTATGCACATGTTGAGCAGAATGTCCATGCTTTTCCATGCAACGACAGTGAATGGTGAAACATAAAAGTACCATAACTTATGACTTGTGTGCTTATTCTTAAGGAATATGACCATATGCACATGTTCAAATTTGGTGCATTGCAACTGGTTTAGACATGGTTTTCACATTCCAGTTCAAATAATCAAGTGCATTAGATGTGCTTTAGTATTAAAGTCAGCATCAAAATAAGTACAAGATTAAAGGTTTAATAAAACACAATAAATTAAAATCTACTTTAAAGTAAAATTTTAAATTTGATATTAATACAAAGTGCACGTTTTAAAAGTGTACTCAAGTGTATTAAGCAACCTAGTTATGAAAGTACTCTCTTCAAGCAAATGTGCGCTTAAGTGACCTTTTATTTAATTAATTTTATATTATCTGCAAGTATTTTTTTTTAAATATACAGTTAAGATTTGAAGTAAACTACAAGTGCACATTCAAGACAATTAAGTGCACTTTGTTTTCACAAGAGAAGAAAAGATTAATTTACAATTTTTGTCATCTGAAGAATAAGTGAGTGTTTTCTTATGCAAAAAAAAAAAAAAAAGTGGTTGCCGAGGTGTTGCTATTTGGTTGTTAGGGTATTCTGGGAATTGAATTTGTGAATGTTATCTTGGTGGTTTCTATATTGTCTCTATTTGTCCCTCAGGTTCCTCTTTCAACGCAAATAACATTTTTGGCCCATTTCATTGCCCAGCAATGGAAGATTGTAATTTCTATGGTCTATGTTCTATGGTCTTGATGTGTCATATTTGAATATACTTATTTGAGAGCTGCAATGGAGAATCAGCGATAAACGACTTCGATTTTAGTGTTTTCCTCACACAAATCTATTGCATGACTTCATAAAGCTTGGAATATATATATATATATATATATATATATATATATATATATAGACTGCTTTTATAGTACTTTTTGGCATTTTTTAGCACTTAACGACCACTAGTCACCATTCACTGTCATTGTGTGGAAAAGAGCGTTCTGATAAATATCTATTTGAATTCCACAGAAGATATGAAGTCATATAGATTTAAAGTATGGGTGAATTTAAAGGGGAACCATTCCTTTGAATTTTGTCTTTCTTTTTAAGGTCTTTGATTTGCCTTTTGGGTATGATCTAAAGCGTTTATTTGAAAGTATAATTGTATATGAGAGGGTAAATGGATCCTAAGAGAAAAAAACTAAACAAAAAACAAAACGATGTCAATTGGTTTTGCTTCAAAAGGTGAAATCTGCCGCTGTCTGAATATGGAGTCAAATGGCTTTTTACTCACACTCACACCGTAATTTATTTTTGGCTGTCTGACCCCTAGGAAGCAATCTATTTTCTTGTTTCTTTTTATTCTGTTTTCCTTTAGCCTAAAATAGGATGTAATCCAGAGTTTTTAGAGCAAGCGTCCTTCTTTCCATGAGAGTGTTACACTGACGTGAGCATTGACGTGTTTCATAACGATCATTCCAGATTCAAAGAAAATAAACAGTGCCAATATTAATGTAAATAAAAAAAGGCCCGGCAATTATGTTACTTTTTTCGGTTTCTATGGACAGAAAAGTATATATATATATATATATATATATATATATATATATATAATATGCATGATTTTGTTACTTTGGGATTTTGATAAACTATAGTTTGATCTCTTTCTTATATTTTTAGTTTTACTAACATGCTCCAAAAATATATCAAAGTCAAACATTGTGTACAGTTGTTTCCTGAGAGGTATTTATTGAAGAGAGTTTTATGTGCAGAAAGAGTCATTTTATGTCCGGCGCAACCTAAACTCAGCACGGAAACCTTAAAAGAGGATTCACTCCTCAAATTTTGTCTGTAACAGAAAAAGAGAGGAAGAGAGAGAAAAAGAATATCTATAAAAGAGCAGAATCTTTTTATCCTGGTGTCATTTTGAGTGGACGTGATCCACTGTATGTGTAAATACTATGTGAGGTACACTTTGTGAGACAATGCAAAAAAAAAAAAAAAAAAAAAGAGAAAAAAAAAAAAGAAATCCCTTTTTAAGACGTAGGGCTGATTGACATATAAAGGGGTCCAGCACCCGCTCCAGTCCTCCTCCTGTTCTGCTATGAAGATGTACAACAAACCCAAATAAGGGCTTCAAGATTGATTTTACAGGATGTCCACCAAAAAAAAAGAAAAAGAAAAAAATAATAAAGTTTAAAAGAACAATAATAGTGAATAAAAACAATTATGCAAATGTTGATTGTGCTGTAGGTTTGTTTCTTGTGTTGGGGTGAGTGAGGCTTCAGTAACTCTTTCTCATAAAACTTACATAATTGCTTGTGTTTGACACATAATATTTTCTGCAATGCAATCTAACAGTTCTGTGTAATACTTATTTTTATATGTATATTTATACAAACTTTTATACAGGCATTAACCAACCACAAAAATGTCTCGATCATATTTCGCCTAAAAATAAATCAATAATAATAATAATGATATTAAGTAAGCCTATTTTTAGAACCATTTGGACTTTTTGCATTGTGACATTATTATTGATGACAATAAATTTGACATTTATTATGACAACTAAAAAGACCTTTCAGAATTTATAATGCAAAAATTTCAATTCTAATGTATGGTGCTGGAAAAAAAAATGAGATGGGAGCAAAAATACTTCAATATTTCTTTGCCATTTCTCTGGGGAACACAAAAAGAATGCATTATGCAAAAGCATTGATGTATAATTTTCCCTTCCATCTCTTATTTTTTTCCATCACCATGTCCCTTTTAGAGATCCATATAAATATAATTTTAGTACACTACAGTATTATTACAAGCCATAGTAATGACAATAAAAAAAATAGACAATCAAAGGTTCCAGACACATGCTTAATTATTACTTAATTTGAGTTTTTTGTTTTATTTGTGTGTGAAATTCACTATTTAATGATATATATTTACGTTTATATGAACTTTTTGCCTGTACTTCACAATAACAGCATCTAATTCTGTTAAAACATAGAATAGATATAGTGGAAAAAATATAATCCATGGAATTATTTGCAGCCAGCACTGACCGCTAATGCAAGAAAATACCAAAATGGTCAGCGATATGCATCCCTCTTTTCCTATATGCATGTTTCACGGCATCAGCAACATTATCAGCCTCATTAAATGTTGCAATAACCTGGGGCAGCTAAGATGACTGTAGTGAGTGGCCATACATTGCCTCCATGATAAATCATTGCATTGAGTCACTCTATCACTCTATTTCAATGCTGCAGGCTGATGCATTGCATGTAATCCATGAGGAAATTGTTTCTTCCTGCGTGACTGTCCCTGGTCATCAGGAAATGTCTTCTCAATCAGTCCGGCAACAACAGAAGCTCAACGCTGCTTTTATTTATGGTGCATTGCACCACGGCAATCAACATGCTAATTAAATGTGCAATTAAATTATTCTTCAATTGATTTATGTCTGCAGAGAGTTTGTCCGAGTAGTAAAACAAAACTGTGAGAGTGAGAGATGGACGGAACTGAAGATGAGAGGCTGGGATGGTCTCGCATAATGGTCCAATTAGTGGCCAAACCCTGGATGACTGCTTATTGTTGTCATTACCAACACGGCCCATTGTTTATCATTGTTGTACCGGGACAAAACAGCATACAGAACTGACTGAATAAAAGTTTATGTACCAAGGAAGCATTTTGAATTAATATGTTCAAGTTGTTCTGAGCTATTCCATCATGTGTGGGTGCCACCTCCTCCATTTTTATCACAAAATGTGTTTTTTCCTTGCCACTAACTGTATAAATCCTGATGTATTCACACTGCCAGACTGGAAATTTAAATATTTATAAATCTACATTGATTAAGATTGAATTTAGCATACAATATGGTTTCAAATCATCAGTCCCAAGTGGATTAAAAAAACAATAAACTACAAAGTAAGTATCTTTCATAATAAATATCAGTGTGGCAAACTCAGCAAACCATGGCAAAATTTGCCAATCGCCCGAATGTCATTTGCGCTTTTATTGCATGAAACACGTTTTGATTAAAGACCTCTGAAGTTTTTCGTTATTATCTGATATATGTAAATCCATATAAACATCAGCCTTTTGTGAAAACGTTATTGGTTTGGTCGCCAGCGCGCATGAGTGCAGTAATGTGTGCACACACACCAACTTGGCGCGCGCTCTCAGGGAATCTGATTCACATGCTACTAGAACTCATAGCCTAGTAGATGGCATATGGAAAGAAGACCGGATGAAACCTAATTTGTATAATATTTGTTTTTATAAATGTTTTGATGAATATCTTACAGCTGTGAAACCTTGGGGCGTATTTCGAAAAGTAATCTTTTACTGTCAGGAGTGGACAGGTTGCTTTAAAAGACTTTGATATTTATGTATTCTGCTGAACACTTTTTTTTTGCTGGGAAATACAATAATGTAATCAGATGCCTCACCATTGTTTATGACGAAGTGGCGATCTTGTTCATGTCCTGGAGTTTCTCTGGGCATGGCCTTGAATTTCACATGTGGCCTAAAGTACATGAAAAAATTTGAAAAGGAGGATATATGACATGATGTACTCATATATATTTCATGATTTTCTAATCAGAATGGCAGGGGGAAATTATGTGCTTTTCACTCAGGAGACAGTGTTTCCTCTTGAGACTGTAGTATACTGGTTTTGGCCATGTGACCAATGTGACTAGATTATGGAAAAAGTGCATTTGCCCTGAAAAACAGAAATAAAAAAATGCATGCTATATAGCAACACTGAGCAGGAGGGCCGGCCAACGGAAGACCTTGTGACTGTCATGAGGAGCAGGGAAGGACACACTGCAGACACAGAGGAGGAATGGTAAACATCTGTTTCCAGTCTTGACAACAAATGGGATTCAGAGTTCAAATTATTTGCAGGGACATATGTGATGTGTTACTCAAATATAAGGTGGTTGGCTGAAACTAGGTCACATTTTACGTTTACAAAGCTTACATTATGTTTTGTAAGAAAATGATCCCTGTTTTTGGACCATTAAGATTTGTTCACATCTTTCATTAACATCTTCCTACACTGCAATACATCTGGAAGTGATTTCTGTAAATTATTCCCAATGATTATTCAAATTAGATTCTCAATCAATACAGTATTTCCAATTGAAAAATTGTCAATAAAATCTATTTAAATCAGCCTACATTAATAACAAGCATGATGTATATAAAGATGACTGAAAATAAAAATAAAATAAAAAGATTATTAAGATTTATTGGACATGTTCATGTGATTCGTCTGTTTTAAATTCATTTTATAATAAATCTAGGCCAATATTAAAAAAAATTGGATTCAAATTTAGGTAATTAATAAAGTAATCACAAATTACATTTTGATATGTGTAATTAAACGAATAGCCTAAAGACAGTGAACCACTAATATTCTCTCACATTTTTTGCCATATGTAGCCTATAAAAGGCAGTGACAGAAAAACAGACAATTTCTGTCTTCAGCAAGTCCACCACAAGACATCTGATTGTCTTTTTTTTTTTTTACTCCATTGAACCATGCCAGATGCATGAATTAGCCTATACTCTATTGTATTTGTTGGCATTTGTCTGTTTAGGTAAAAACACACATGTGAACAAACCAGTTAACAAGTTTAATTGAGCGGAGCCTGCATTCTCGGTTAATTGCAGTTGTCAAAGCGTTCAACTGGGAGTTCATTGAACACTGTATTGCCTATTAGGCACATCCAAACCCAAAGCCTTTTCTGACAATACATCTTATTGCAATATGCATCAACAGCATGGACACAAATGAATCAATTTAGCATCACATACTTTCAAACTGTCCATCATTATTGATGACTGTAAAATGGAATTAGACCCGAGGCCAGACTGAGCTTTTTAACCTAGTAACCTTTGGCTTTAGTAGTCTGGCCGACTCTCTCCAGCTGATCTAAATGTGTTGAAAACTGCAATGCTCATTCTTGTTTTAAAATGACACGTGAAAAGAAAGGAGTTACTAAGGGGGAATTTCGAGTATATAAAAAATCCATCTCTGAGGCACCATGAACAAAGAGCACAATCAGGGTCGGCGCTATGGTGGGGCATTCGAGGGCCGTGCCCCCCCTAGCGCTCATTGATGCCCCTCCTACCACAGTTTCTAATACAATGCTAAATCATAAATCAGATGTAGGCTATACAATACCAAATGTCCAGCAATCTATTTGAATAGCACATTGTGTTTAATTTGTTGTCTAATTGGATGTAATGTGTTGGTGCCAAGAATTTTCACGTGAAGAAATACATGCATCCATTTCTATTTTTTATCGCAAGTGTTGTTGGTCCAGTGGTAGAAATTTAGACTGGCATGCATGAGATTGTGGTTTCGAGTCCACACTCGTGTAGACATTTTTTTTCCCCCATCATTATAACCGATTATGTTTATCAGTGGTTGTCAAGCAGGGACATGTTTGAGTGCATTTTACTTGTACGAATAGAGATTTCGCCGCAACAGATCAAGCGCGCGTCCGTGTGAAGATGTTTATTGTGGCAGCGCGAGACACAAGAGAACACTTTATCAGCACCACAGATCGAGTCAACGAGCACTTTGATCACTTGATTTAAAAAACAACACATTTCAGCGTGCTATATCGCCTCTTATTTAACAAATGAATGCTCTGTAAACCGGATATTTATTTGTATTGGTACATCCGTGCCGCGAGATGTATAAAAGTGCTGGGACAACATCGACCCTGGCAAAAAGTGGTGGGGAAATTCGCAAATAATAATTTTAAATAATAATTATAATAATAAACGGTGTTTCGTTTTTTTTTTTGTTTTTGTTTTTTTTTTTTTGCTTAAACGGCAGTGCCCCCCCGCTGATGACCCAATGCCCCTCCAGTAGATCTGCTCTGGCGCCGACTCTGAGCACAATCTAACTTGCTAGGCATGACACAGCACTCTCGCTCGGCTCGGCTCGCTAAACGGGATTTGCTGCCACACTGCGGACATTCAGCGTAACGCGCGCCACTAAGGTCAAATAGCTTACACACACATTCACACCATAGACTGTGATTCACACCGGTGACGGTGAGTACTCAATGTGTAATAGGCCTACATCGTATTCTATATGGCTGAAAAAAATTCTAAGTAATGTACACCCGAGGTGGTGATGCCGTTAATCACCACTTCGACGCCCTCAATAATTCAATAGGCCTAATCAATAATTCAACGCCCTATAGTCAATTATTCCACTTATACCATGGTTACCACACCTCAAAATTGTTCAGATGATGTATTTCAAGACATTTCCGTTGCTAATTTCCGAAACGTCATTTTAGTGCTAGCAAGGGAAGCTTAAGCCATTGATAGCAGACCTAAGGCCCTGATCACACACACAAAAGCGTTTAGTGTGCTACTAATCTTTCTTTCTTTCTTTCTTTCTTTCTTTCTTTCTTTCTTTCTTTCTTTCTTTCTTTCTTTCTTTCTTTCTTTCTTTCTTTCTTTCTTTCTAACTGATCCATAGTTTTTCTTTCTTTCTTTCTTTCTTTCTTTCTTTCTTTCTTTCTTTCTTTCTTTCTTTCTTTCTTTCTTTCTTTCTTTCTAAAGTTAAGCAAGCAAAGCGATATGTTGTCTTCTTTTCTCTCTACACCGAAATAGTGGTTTACAATTTTTTTTTCTTAAATTAATACATTAAGCAGAGGAGGATCGAATAACACATTTGAGATTACTGTAAACCGTGCACACACATGATTTTAGTAAACGTTGAGGAACACATATTCTGAAATATGCTGGCAATTGTGTGTAGCGTTAAGTTTTTTTTTTTTTGTTGTTTTTCTTTTTTTACCTTTCAGATTAATTCTGCGATGACTTCTGACCTGACGATCAACTCTTTTCTGTGAGTTTGTTGTGCGGACCATCTTAAAGTGACAGTTCAGCCCAAAATTAAAATTTTGTCATAAATTTTTCACCCTCAGTTTGTTCTTTCTTGTGCTGAACACAGAAGATAACCAAATAGTTTCTGGTCCCCATTGACTTTCACAGTATCCTATCTTTTTTTTTCTAGCTGTTTGTTACAAACATATATCTTCCTTTATGTTCAGAAGACAGAAAGAACAGAATTTAATTTTTTTACAACAGAATTTACAACACGCCCACACAGAAACTGTTGTGTTTTATTATTGTTGTTGTTGTTATTAGTTGCTGTTGTTAGTGTGTTTACTAAATTAGCGCTTCTTGCCATCGCGCGGCATATCTTCTGCATCACGTAAAAAACAAAACCTGCACCACGTGACGTGACAGCAGGCAGGTTCCGGCTCGTGGTTGCCATGGCGACGACTTGAGGATTTGATGCGGAGTCAGTTAGCATTCGGCAGGAATTAGACTACGCTGCTGGAATATCCGTGAGTAAGCGAACAAACTATTCATATTTTTTGTAGCGTTTTAGCAAGTCTTAATGTGCTAAAACGAGATTAGCAGTGTATTTTACTGGCAATGTATTAACTGCGCCGTTATAGCGCTATGTTGTGTTGCCCGGTCCTTCTCGTTCAACAAATGCACCTCTGTTTGTTTGTTAGTGTTAAACTGAGTTAACCATAAAGACCAAAGCCACAGTCTTCTGTATTAGGTAAAGAACTAACTTACGCTTAAAAGACATTACAGGATATCTGCACAGCTGCAGCGTATTAACGTTATTAGTAAATGATGCATTGATATAATACTATATCTAGTGTACACTTATTGTATGAAGTATGCTATGTTAAGTGAAGTCATTCAAGTTGTACAGAGTAAACACACAGTAGGTCTTTTCTAAATGTGCTGACAGTGTGTGTCTTTCACAGGTGAGTTTCCCCAGACAACCTGACCCTGACAAGACAATGCAGTTCAGCCCTCCTGTCAGCAGAGACAGGATCATATCTACATTTCCAAAGGTACACTCTCTAAAGCTACCTTATGTTAAATATTTGCAGGTATTTTAATTGAAGAGATCATTCAGGATTAAATCATCCTGTCTGATGATTCATACTGCAAGTCGTACGCCTGGAAATCCAGCAAGTGTTTTAAGCGAGCACATGTGCAGTGAGGCCCCTCTATATGGAAGTCACATTTTCTCATGATGCTAATCTTATAATGAGAAAATGTGACTTCCATATAGAGGGGCCTCACTGCAGACGAATCCGCCAGGATCACAGGACTGCAGCTAATTCTGCTGAAATAAAACATCTTCCCATAGCTGTGTTGTGTACTACTTTTTTCAGTAGGGGGGTTATATTAATGGTAAATGTTACCTATTCACTTTGTTTATGCACATATCTGGCCTTATTGTAAATAATTCCAAAATCCAAAGTAATGAAACAGACATAGTCAAGTCAAATCACCTTTATTTACGTATATAGCACTTATACAGCACAATACAGATTGTAAAGCAGCTTCACAGTGATAACATGAAAATAATACAACACAGATCAATAATATTATTGAAAATTAAATGTCCCCAACTAAGCAAGCCAAAATACAAGGCAATAGTGGCAAGGAACCAAAACTCCATAAGGTGACTGAATGGAGAAAAAACCTTGGGAGAACCCAGGCTCAGTCGGGGGCCGGTTCTCCTCTGGCCAACGAAGGATCAGTGATTACAAAACAAATTGGATCGAAACATTAAGAGTATTTGTCCATTTCCATCTGTTTGTAAGTCGAAGTAATCACGCCGGTTTGGAGACGAGATGTTGAGGATCAGTGCCGATGGCTGTCGTGTCGATGAGTCGGGATGGATCCAGGTGCAGGTCCACCATAGAGGGTCCATCGGAATAAACAGAGAAACTAATATTAGCGTAGACACCATCCTTCTTATGATGGTTCTGGTTGATCTAAACTAGTAACATCTAAACACAGCTTCAACAGACTGGACAAAACTACTATTCTTACACAGGACAACCAAATGACCAAAAGTATCAGGACAACTAAATGACCAAAAGTATCAGGTATTTGATGTTGATTATGACAAGAAGACTGTGTCGGTATTTATTAGTTCTGTCATATTATTATTCTGTAGTGTTATAATCCAGAAGCCTGCCTACAGACGAAGGATGACTGGAATCCAAAAGCCAAGATGGCTTGCCAAGACCGGGCGGCCCGCCTGCAAGGGTATCTATCTGTCTGTCTATCAAATGTCTATTTATTACTTAAACAGTATAATAATTTGTTTAAATATTATCTTCCAGGTTTGACAGGCTTAAAATGTCAAAAGCAGTAGTGGTTGGAGATCTGAATGTGGGAAAGACATGCTTAATAAACAGGTAGAGTCTACAGGTTTACTTTAAATGACACATGTTGTATCTTTCAGAGACATTAATGTTCATTATGTTCTTGTATACCATAGGTTTTGTAAAGATGTGTTTGAGAGAGACTACAAGGCTACTATAGGTGTTGACTTTGAGATTGAGAGATTTGAGCTATCTGGGCTCCCCTATTCTCTTCAAATGTGAGTAGTTATTTTCTGAACTATTTAAAGAACAAATCTGTTCATTTGAAAATGTAATGTGTTTTTATATTCATTTTTGCCCATTCCGATATTTGTAGATGGGACACTGCTGGCCAAGAAAAGTTTAAATGCATTGCATCAGCATATTACAGAGGAGCTCAAGGTAAAATGTAGATTCTCATTTAATTCTCTAGATACGAGTCTGTTTAAACCCTAAAATAATTTCTGTTTCTACTTTAAAAGTTATTATTACTGTCTTCGACATGGCGGATATCAAGACCTTGGAAAACACACGGTAAGTTTTTTTTTTTTTTTTTTTGAAATTGGGAATATGTCAGTTTTTTATTTATTTATTTTTCGTTTATTTGTTTCTCAGACAGTGGTTATCAGAGGCACTGAGAGAAAATGAACCAAACTCCTGTTTTGTTTTCTTGGTTGGCACAAAAAGAGACCTCCTGGTGAGAATAGCCACACACACACAAGCATGCATAATTGCATATGTACACATACATGTAAAAGCTATGACTAAAGGGGTCCTATTATATATTTTCTTTTACATTTTCATCTAATGTTGCGGTGAACATGAAAAAAGTTACATTCACACAGTTATTGTCTACATCAGTGCACACTGTTTCTGAACTTCCTGAAACACTTCAATTGTAGTCTTGAGTTTACTTCCAGAAACAAACACATCACAATATTCCTCATTTAAATAATTCCCACCCAAGGCATAGGTAAAATAAAGTGCCGAGGCCTAGTTGGGTTGCATTAGTAGTGCGTTGAAACTCACGGTTATGGTAAGAGGTGTGATATTTCCCAAACAGGCTCAAAGCAGTTGACCAATCACAACACACCAGCCCAGCTGACCAATCAGAGCACAGAGTGCTTTTCAGAAGGAGGGAGTTTATTGAGGAACAGATACAAAATACAAAATAATGTGTTTTTTAAACATTCAAGTATGAAAACATTCTGCTAGACCACAACAACAAAATTAAGACAAAAAGGGCATAACGCCCTGTCTTTGTGTGAAGTCTGCAGAAGAGTGCGAGAGAACAGAGAGGGATGCTATAAACATTGCAGCAGAAATGAACGCAGAGTTCTGGTCGGTGTCCTCAAAAACAGGTACATTCTAAAAGGATAAGAATACGTATGCAATGTCCATTATAAGGATTATAAGACAGTTACAACATGTAACTCTTATTACTATTGATTTGAAGGGGAGAACGTCCAGGAGTTTTTCTTTCGCGTGGCATCTTTGGCTTTCGAAGATGCCATTCTGAAGGACCTGGAGACAGAACCCAGCACCGCTCAGATTGGTGATGGAAGTATTCTCAGTAAGAGATTCCTCTCTAAAATCATAAAACAGAGATGTTCACAAATGTAAATGTTGTGAGGTGTATGTTATTGTGTATGTTGGTGGATGATGTGGCTTTGTTATTTTAGATAATACAGCACTGGAAGATGCACAAGTAAAGCCGAAGAAGTCGTCCTGTTGTTGATCGGAAGGTTCAAGAAGATAAAGAACCAATTTGTATTAACAGAATAAATATTTAACATGGTTAAAAAAGTAGTGTTTCTCCGTAAACTAACCAATTTCTGAGTTGGTGCATCATGAATGTACTCTCTGAGAGGGACCACCTTATCCAAACACATACAAAAATAAGGGACAGATATCCAGTATGAGTTTGATTTATAGTGTAGTATTAACCTCAGTATTTCACACTGCTCAATAAACTGCCATTTAATGATTGTATTGTATGTTATTTTGCAACCTTTTGTACTTGTTTATTTTCTTTTGGCAGATGAAATAAACGTATACATTATAATGGAACAGTGTATACATTTTTTTTTTTTTTATCATTATTTGTCTTTACATTACCCAAGCTTGAGAAACCTACATGTTCAGCAATAATAGAAGGAAGCATGCTGTTTATCAGTAAATAAGCATAGTTGACAGTGAACAAGCATAATCATAAAGTGTAACAGATGGCTGCATAGTAGATTTATTATTCTACAAAATGACACTTATATCTTCTGAAATGGTAAGATTTTCACTTTGAAATTGTATTCTTGAAAAGAGAAAACATTGGAAAAGAAAACAGAACGCTGCGTGCATAGTTTTCTCCGCAGCAAGAGCTAGTATTCAAAGTTTATGTGGAATTTGAATGTTTAATGAGAAAGGGCTGGCAAAGGTGACCATGTTAACTGTTTCTATCACTTGTAACAGTATATATATTTTTGTATTTTAATTTCATAATTACTTTGTTCATTGTAATGTCAGAGCCACCACCCTCTAGAATATTGGAACAAGTAAAAGTGAAGTACAATAATATTACAAAATGGTAATCTTTACTAGGTTACTTATACTGTTCTCTGTCTCTTTTAAAAAGACACTGTTATATGACATGCATGTCTGTTAATAACAGCAACCAAGAAAAAGGATATCCTACACCTCAAGATTTGTTATCACAACTTTTTTCTTTTGTCAAATCAACTTAGATGAATAATGTGTTTCAGATAACATAATATTTTGAGTTTCTGTTGATTAAACCAATCTCCATATTATTAAAATCAAATTTTAATTTCAATAAACTCAATTTTAAGGCAACCATGGTACTTATTTTTTTAAGTTAAATTAGTTTAGGTGCTAAAAACAAGGAATATAAATTAAAAATTACAAAAAAATATATATTGAATTGTAGTTCCTGCCATCAAATTAAAGTACAGTAAGCAGCTATAAGGAAGAAATTGTTTTGTTGAGGATATTATAAAGTAATGAGTGTTTCAAGAGGAAATTTGTAACCTATACAGTCTGATTCATCACATTTAGCTTGATGTTTCTGATAAGGTAACATTTCTGTCCACAGAACATATATCCTTCACAGAGTTAGATGATACTGATGTGATCTTCAACCAAAGAAACCATAGAAAAAGACGCAGACGGAGAGGAGGATAATGGCATTGGCGTTGACCACGTTTCTCCATAGAGGTTTTTCAGAGGTGTCGGTGAGCTTCAACTTCATCTCCGCCTCCTGTTCTTTAGTCAATTTAGGGGCATTGCCTTGATCAAAGCCGCAGAACCAGTTGTACGCCTTCTTACAACAGCCGGGTTCCTCACGTTCCTCTGCAGGTTCAAGAGATGAACGGAAACGGTTGTTATTGTTTATTAAAAGCTAATATGTTACATGTGCAATGTGATTTACACAAATAAGACATTTGTCTGGATCAACATTCTTTGTTTTTCCTAGAACAATCTACAATCTAATCAATTAATCATAGCCATAAACTAGTCTCAGTATCAGACGGTCCACTCAAAGACACCCACAGTCTGTTTACTGAACCACGTGATGCACGTTGCACACAAAAACTGTGAGTGTTACCTGTGCTTTGTATCAATGATTATGAATTTGGTGGCTTGTGCAGACGTACCTTTTGTTTCCATAGAGTTGGAATCCTGTTCATCAGTCCAGTCATCTAGCTCCAGATCTATCCTCTCCTCAGTGTTGTTCCTCAAGCTCCAGCAGAGCCTGTACAACTGCACAATAACAAGGGGCAACAGAATGAGGGGCCGTGACAGAGAAGTAAAGGTCTATCTATCTATCTATCTATCTATCTATCTATCTATCTATCTATCTATCTATCTATCTATCTATCTATCTATCTATCTATCTATCTATCTATCTATCTATCTATCTATCTATCTATCTATCTATCTATCTATCTATCTTATTAAACAATAATTTATTATATATATATAAAAAAAAAACTTTTCAACCCAAACGTTTGAACTATAATGTTATAAGCATAATATGTGTATTTCAAGTGAAATCTTCAATTGCTTCTGCTGATTGAACACTTCCTTCGATTGCTTCTGCTCCTTTCTGCCTTGCTGCTGGTTTGCCAGCTGGTTTGCCATTCCTTGTTGTTTATATTTCTAAATATAACTTACTCATCAGTCATCAACATATCTTAGATATAGTCTAATATTGCCTATCACTTTAATCTGACATTGCTAGATTTGATCTAAATCGCTATAGCTTTTATCTTATCGCTAGCACAATACACTAGTATCTCGCTTGCCTTTTAACCTGCCATCCATGTCTTCTCCTGTTATTGTCACATGCACTTCGTGTCACATGCATAGCATAAGCTTTCTTTGTCAGTACTGAGGGCTTTACATGTGATAAATGCAGGGAGATAGTCAGGCTGACAGAGAAGATTTTAGAACAGACACGCATCCAAACTTTAATCAAGGATAGTAAGAGTGCAAGGGCTTTAGATACTGATTTGGATGCGACTAGCTTAGTGAACTCTGTACATTGTTCGGTTCTGGCTGTAAAGCCCATGAAGCTGGGTGACTGTGAGACGCTGTAGTTGCGGGACAAAACACAGCTTTTCTGTTCAGATTACCATAACAAATAGATTCTCCCCACTCAGTGAAACACCCACTGAGAATTCTGTTGAAAGTGCCTTAGTTAATAGCGATTCTATTGCACGGAATGTGAAAATAGAGACAACAGCCACCATAGTCAAATGTAGAGTGCCTGAAATCAAAGCAAATTTAAAAGTGCTGGCTAATGCTAATCGTACATTTTCTAGGATTATTATTCACGTCGGCACTAATGCTGTTCGACTTTGCCAGTCAGAAATCACTAAAATTAACGTTAAAGAGGTGTGTGAACTTGCAAGTTCTTACTAGAACCAGGAAGTATGACCATATTAGCTCAGTCATATCAACACTGCATTGGCTCCCTATTAAACATCGGATACATTTTTAAATATTGATGATTACTTACAAAGCATTAAATGGTTTAGCTCCCCAGTACTTGAGCGAGCTCCTAACACATTATAGTCCTTCACATTTATTGCGATCTCAAAATTATGGCCAGTTGATAATACCTAGCATATCAAAATCGATTGCTGGCGGTAGATCCTTTTCCTATTTAGCACCAAAACTCTGGAACAGTCTTCCTAACATTGTCCGAAGCAGACACACTCTGTCAGTTTAAATCTAGACTAAAAACACATCTCTTTGACCTCTGAGCATAAACATTACACATTATCAGTATCCTGGTGAAAAGGATATTTTGTGTAGACAAAATAAAAAATTTAAAAACATAGTTGCACATAGTTGAAGAAAAAGTTGCACTTTTGTTGATTGTTTGTGATATTAGCACTAAGAGTTTTGAAAATGTACACCTTACTTGTGAAAATAGTATACTAAAGCGGAAAAAACTGTAAATGTAATAATTGTGGTACAGAAGCATGATTAATAACACTGTAAAATACTGAAGAATATCAGAAGAGCTTACATGTTTGTCGTCAATTGGTTTGGTCATGAGGGAGATGCCCAGTATCAATATACAGGACAGGCCGAACAGCATCATTCCAAAATAGAGGTAGTGCACACCACAGATGATCGTGGGACAGTTACTGGGGCTCACGCAACTGCCCGTGCCATAGGCAAACTCTGCTATCATACGCGCCAGACCCACCAACAGACCAATACACAACCCGTAGAAAGCGCCCTGTGAGGGAATATCAACACTATGTGTCAATAGATACACAATTTACAGCAAGACTTTGATTTTCTGAAAAAAAAAGTTTTGAGATTATTAATATCAAGCTGAATTTAACAAGCAAAATGTATATAAACCAAAATATATAAATGGATACAAAGCAAAATGTATAAAACTGTAAAATGTGAAGGACTGACTCACTGCTTCATTTACTCTCTTGCAGAAAATGGCGAGGATGAAGACAGCAGCGATGGGTGGAGCCAGATAACTGGTGCTGGACTGAATGTAGTCGTAAAGCTGGCCGCTCTGAGCTGACTGAACTATGGGGATCCACGCGATACTCACGGCAATCAGAACTAGCATGAACAACCTGTACGCATGAACACAGGCATCTCAGAGCCTTTTCACATCATTTTCACAAGGTAACACAAACAGACACAAAAACGCACCTCCCTGCAATCATGAGCTCCTTCTCTTTGGATTTGGGACGGATCTTGGTGTAGATGTCCATGGTGAAGAGTGTGCTAGCGCTGTTAAAGATGGAAGTGAGTGAACTCATCAGAGAGGCCAGCATGACAGACAACATCAAGCCCCTGAGACCTTCAAAAACACACAGAGCAGTTTAGACCCATAAAACCAGATAGATCTATCAAAGCATGTAAAGAGACAGAACATCTAGGTTCCTAATGTAACATTACGTCAGACTGACGTCATGGGGTCTCGTCTGGGAGCACAATCACCTCAAAGCGGTAACAGAACAAGTGATATTTGCATCCCGAGTCACACCCACCTGGACATAAGAGTATAAATTAGACCGGCATTACTTAGTCATTCATGTTTTGCTGAGGAGCCGAGACAGTATCCCGGGCCGGCCATTCAAATTTGTCAAGTTTAGGGCTGTGGGATATAGTGTCTCTGTTCCCTCCTTCAGGGAATGGGGTTTACATTAGTAACCTAGATGTTCCCATTCAGTCAGTCATGTTCAACATTATGTCCCTATAGAAACACCTGGTCCCAAAAGGGAGTGGCGGGAAATTTGGACACGTATCCGGGCCAGGGTCTCAGAAAAGGATGAGACAAGGACAACCCGGAATCTAGGCACGATTCACTGACCGAAAATGCCTGCTGATTCCCCACCCTCCTGAAGGAAAAACGAGTGCCGTCTCCAAATACTGGATTTTAAGCTCAACTGAATCATGGCACATGGCATGCTAGAGGATTGCGATGTTCGCGGGGGCGGATCCAACGAAGAAGATCCCACTGTTACCCTCAGATCTCCCAGAGTGCTATCCTTTAGAAATTTACTCTTTTC